AATCCCACCAATACAGTCACTTGACTGTATACGTAGGGTTTTCCAAGCAGTTAGTCTGTAACGCAGCAGATTACTGTCAGTTTCATATACTTAGTAGATGCTTTGGCACATTTTTATAAGCCTGGTTGGGGTCTCGTAGCTCACGTGGTTAAAACGTTGACTATACACAAGCCTTGCCCTTCGACCTCACCGAACCGTGGAATTTTCAACACATGTGTCAGGTGAATCTATACTTTATCCCGTATCCTTGAGAAATATCTTCTTATGTGCTTTCCTGTCTACTATAACAGAAGATGCGGCAATATTTTTATGCACCAATGGTATTTGTAATGCATTTATGGCACGGGCTTTTTATCCATGGCAGGATTCTCACAACTAATTGAAAATTGTACTTAATCGTTCTCCTAGAAAATAGTTTCACCCCACATGTTATTTTTACGTTGACTAGTCCATTTTATAATTCTTATGGCCTTTTGAACTACGTTTTACTAGTTTTTGGAAAAAGAACTGTGTGTTTTATATGCAGAGGCCTATCTACCATGTAGATTTCATGCCTTAATAAGACTAACGACAAAAGTTTCCTGAGGTCAGCTACTATCCTCGTTGATGATACGGAAGGGAGCTCAATGCCTCCGTTACCGTCCAACCTAAGTCATCGTGTGTGGCTTCGTTCAAGTCCACTGATTCGTGACGTTGTAAACCTAGACTGTTTTGTTTTGCTTTTCTTTAAAACGAGCGATTGAATACTGCTCATCCGAAGACTGAAGGTTGTGCCTGGATGCTTGTTGACTTCAGGGCTGCTCAGTTTGACTCAACAAAAAGTTATGTTGTGGCTGAAACAGTTTAAATTTCTATTAGCATTGCTTTCTGTTTGGAAACATGTAATATATATGTCAGGACAACATGTCAGTCAGTATCTGTTGTCTTCCCCAGGACTTCGCACGCTCTGTATCGCATATGCCGAAATTGAACCAGAAATTTATGAGGAGTGGCGGCTGCGGTACCACCTTGCTAGCACAACCATCGTTGATCGTGAAAATGCCCTGGCTGCCATGGCGGATGAAATAGAGCGGGTAAGTGCTGCTTGCGTTCTCTGTCACCTGAGACGTCTTTATTTTGTCGAAACCTGACTTGAGATTCATACTTGCTTGCTGCTCCTTCCAGAACCTCCTGCTTATGGGTGTGACGGCCATTGAGGATAAACTCCAAGACGAGGTGCCGGGAACGATAGCTTATCTGCAAGCCGCGGGTATCTCTATCTGGCTGCTGACAGGAGACAAACTCGAAACTGCAGTCAATATTGGCGAGTGTACAGCATTTATAAAGTGTTTGCGATAGCTTATGTGAGCCCATCCCTATAAATTGTACATCCATTACTTATAATAACGAACGGCAAGAGACTCAGGCTTCCAAACTGGCTGACAGCTAGCAGCTAGAAAAACGACATCAGGCATATTGGTGTGTACAATAAGAGGTGCCGCAGTTGTTGTCTGCAAAGAGTTTGGGGCAAGCGCATAGATGCACTATACCAGAAGTTAAAAAATTCGCAGTAACTAGACATATGTTTTTCAGTAGTAACCGATAGGTTCTATTGACCAGAAGAAGAGCGGCACAGCCACCGATGCAAATGACACAGTCCTCTTAAGCACCAGACTGTGTTATCGGCATCCACTCCGATCCTGCTCATCACTGGCACAACTCGGGTTGGAAAGAAGAAGTAGCTGTGATCGCTGCGACAGCAATTTTAATCCCCCGACGTTTGGGTATGGCTGGCTGATGACTAATAAAAAGCTCGAAACGGTTATTCCGGTCTCCCTTATTTTTCTAGGTTCGAGTTC